ACCTTCGCGGAAGCAACCGGAGTTGAGAGAAACTCGAAGAGATTTAAATTATATGAAGCTAAAGGTCTATCAAATTGCTAGGTCAAGCAACACATACGTTCTTCTGGCTGATTAGCACGCTTTTTGAAAAAATTTTGTATGTTTTCCAATTTTTTTTGTGTTCCCGATTTCGATCACGTTGGTATCAAAATTAATCAATTAGGGAAAATATTCAAAATTTGTGTCTATCCGATCAGTTCGAGTTCGGGTATAAACTCAAATTATTTTTTGATTTCTGTTTTGATTTTTTTGATTTATGGATTTCGGGTTTTTTGGTTTTTTTTTTTCGTTTTAATCAGTGGCTACTTTTTGTGTGTGCTGTCAAACACATCAAACATCAATGTTATCACATCAAACACCAGCAACGGCCTTATAGGTTATGAAGTATCTTCACAAAGTCGCATAAATTACCAGAAAATCAAATATTGCAGTGAAAGTATTACGAAAAATTTGAGTTTGCGTTCAATTATAATTTTACGATTTTACTGGTTTTGCAGAGGTTGTTCGCCAAAAACTGCTTTCTGGCAGCTCTCCACACTTCCAGGTGTCTGAGTAAACCTCAGGAGCTGAAACTGCTCAGCTGCCTCTGAAGTGGTGTGTTGTGATCAGGATTTCTGTTTAATTACCCTCAGATTTTCTCGATACCCATAGGCCTCTACAAAACAAACGACATTTGTAGGCAGCTGTCAATCGGGAAAGACCACACACAAACTTCTAGTGTTCACACGACACCTGGACAATCCGCTGAAATTCTTGATACCCGAGAATAGTTTTCTGCAATACTGGCCAAACTGGATGCCTCCGCAAATCTTGACACTCTTCAGATTGTTGCTTTTAAACTTGGATATCAGCCATTCGGGTCACTACTGAGTTCAGATTTCCAGTTTTCGCCGGAGCGATTAGTCTGATTCCAATATAGATCAATGACTCGACTTTGGTCTTCTAACTGAATGATTCCCTGTCTGATAATCGTCTCCAGGTAATAGTGTTTTATCGAAATATATTTTTGTCAGAATTTATTTTTGAAGATTATTTTTGTCAGATTTGTCGGCGGACCATGTTTCTACCACTCACATTCGGTCTGTCCGGTTGCTCGGGTCTGTAGAGAGTAGATCGGATCGTAGATCGGTTGACCAGCAAACGCTCTTAACTAAACTAAGAAAATTTCGAGTTGAATAAATTAATTTCAATCCAAATTAATCGGAAAAAAAAAGAAGAAAACTGCGTAATTTTGTCTCGGAAAAAACCATAAAAAATCAACAGAGCATATAAGCTTAGATCATATAAGCAATATTAATCGTAGGTAGCTAAAGCAGCAATACTTGACAGAAAACACGAAAGTTAGCAGGCAAAAACCTGTGTTTTTGAGGACGGACAAGTTTGAAATCGATTGGTTTCACGTTTTACGCTTAGACGAGCTCGGTATACGAGCGTCTGTAGTTTTTTTTTTAAATTACTAAGATTTACGTAAATATTGCCTAACTATTACATTACTATTACGTAAAAATAGTAAAATAAGATAACCGAACTTTTTCCCTTTTCACAACTAAATGGCCATGTGGCCTAGGTGGGAATCGAAGGCCTCTCAGCCATGTGTTTTTATTTGACTCTGGTTTTACTGCATTCAAGTTCCAGTTTACATTTGCTTTTCAAACTTACATTTCAAGTGGAAACATAGAAAAATATTGATTCTGACTTTTTGAGTCTGAAATCAATTAGAAAAATTGATAAACAGTGAAAAAAGCACTGAACATTGCGGATGGCCTTTTGCGGAGAATTAAATGGCCATACAATTCCAGGCCTGCTTGCAATTCTTAGCAAAAACTATTGCTGACCCAATCATTCGTTGACTTAAAGTCGATTATTTTTTGTTGTCACAAACCAATGAAAAACTTTAGTCAAAGTCAGGGGTCTTATGCACAAAACGGCCCAAAATAAGTATTTTCACATCTTGGTCTTAAGTCAATATATGGTTGATTTTGATTGGTCCATTAGCCATACAAATGTAAACAACATGGTCCCGCTCTTCAATTAAAATTTAAAGCTGATAAAAACTATTTGCAGAAAAGATCAAAACGATAGAATTTTTTCGCGTTAAAACCATATAACTGAATTTTTTCTTTGGGTATAATTTCTCAAAAAAAACGAGAAATTAGTTTTATTAATTGACTAAGGTTCACATTTCCAATTACTTCGGCTAATATTTTTTTCTGCTCGAACAGTTGACTGACATGCCTGACCATGTTGTTTGATTTTGATTCGCTAATATTAGCCAATCAAAATCTGCCGCATTAATTTTAGCTAGAAGATAAAAAGATTTTGATTTTGGGCCGTTTTGTAACATAAGACCTAAAGTCAGCGCTTGGCCAAAGCCAATTGTTTTACAAATTAATATTCGATTTTTGTTGAAAAATAAACATCCATGTATGAAAAGTTTATCTTAAAAAAATTTATCCTCTAAAGCCAGTATGTACGTCCTTATATAGGCCCTGATGACTTTTTTGTTTCTTTTTTCAGGAAAGAACACAGTTTTTTTTCTGTTTACTGATTTCATTGACATATATTTTGCTGATGATATTTTCTGAGCTGCATTAATTTGAGGCGTTCCAGAAATTTTATTTTATTGAATATTTTAAAGCAGTCCTACAAGTGTACACAAAGTTTTCAGAGGACACAGATCTCTTTAGAAAAAGCTAAATCAATTCAAAACGGTCATTGCTAGCCTAGCATAATTAATTTTTGCCATCAATTTTTGATTCTCTGCTATATCAAAAAACATCAGCAGTGAATCGATTGTTCTCGATAATTAAATTTATTTTACTCTGTTTTTTAATATTTTATTAATTAAGTTTTTTTAAATTATACTTTTACAAAAATCATTGTAGTGGTATTCTTTTTCAAAAATTGAAAGTGGTTGTTTGTTATATTACCAATTGAACAAAACAATAACTCTGGATTCAGAAATTTTTCTAATTCATTCATAAGAAAAATCAAGCATGGTCTGTTACGTTACGTTATATATCGATTTTCGATTGCATTTTTTTTCGGAAGTAGTTTATTTGAGCATTAAAAAGAAGGGCTAAAAAAGAAGGATTTTTTAAAAAAAAATTTGGATTGTTTTACGTTTTTGTTGCCCAGTAAAATCTAATTTCATTCATTTTCCATATATTTCTGATGGTTTATTTTGATAAATATTAAACTTTTCAGTGTTTGAACTTCCAGTGTCATTCAGGCGGCAACATCACTTTCCAAAAACATTACAATCTACATTTTCTTTAACTCTGCACGATTCTCTGCCAGTCATGCTTAAAATTAAAAAAGTTCAATTGTTTAAAATTAACGGAAATTATTGTAGGGGGGAAGTACTATTGTCTTCATATAACTTTATAATTTTTTGGACCCAATCTTTTGTTTAAAATAATTCTCATATCCAGGTCATTGCATTAGTCTTTATTATTTTAAATTTTACAGAATTGATTTAAATTAACCGGACAAAACAAACAAAATTTTCAAACGATTTTGTCTCATATTGGGTCTGGATTAGACAATTAAGAAGAGAACAAATATTGCTGAAAATTGCATCTGAACTAAAACATACTAATTTATTTCGACAAATCTGGAACCAAAGTCTTACCATAAAACAGGTCAAATCAAGAACTACGCGAGAACTACCATTTTAATTGATTTCAAATTTTCATCAAAAGAAGCCTTTTTCCGGCCCAGCAAAGTTCAGAAAGGTAAAATTTCCCAAAATTTAGGAAAAACGAGTAAAATTTATTTTTTAAGCAAATGTTTTGATTTGTACATAGTGAAATTGACATTTTTCGATTTTCAAGCACGAAAATACTTTTTTCTACAGATTTTTGCAATTTAATCTTTTAGAACTCTTTTGATCTGTGTAAGAGGCTTCTTTTGATAGAAATTTCATCCAGGAACTTGGTCGTTACAGCGTAACTCTTGATACTCAAAAGTAAAAGAAAACTATCAGTTTTAGATAATATCAAAGACCAAGTCCAAAAACTCAAGTAACGGAATTATAACGATCGATTAGCTTAGCTGGTTCAAATTGGAACGTTTTTTGTCGCGAGATAAGTCGTCACACATAAATAGTTTGCGTTACGCTTTCAAAATTATGAACAAAGTTATCAAAGCGAGCCAAAACGGCAATTTTCAAACTAAGAGAATTTTGCACGAAGCAATCGGAGTTAAAATATATCTTTAAATTTGATTTCAGGGAGTCGATTTCTTCAGTTTGACAAAAATTGTTTGTTATAACTATTGTTTCGATCGCTGAAAATTGACTGAATAAAAAACTACCCCAAACATAATTAATTCGTTCTCTTCAAAAGACTGCTCAAGAGTCTTTAAAGAGAAGCCCTGATTGTTCCGACTGTTTTTTAAGTTTTAATTGAATAATTGACGAAATAAAAAATAGATTTTTTTTTCATTTTTTCTTCTTTTTATCCCCCCACTAAAATACAAAGGGTGTGTTTAACGTCTCGTATTGTTTTAATAGGACTAAAATGCTAGCCTCAATTCAATTGGGAACGCATTACTTTTCCGCTTACGCGTGTTATAAGAACGCAATTTGTCGCGCATTAATTAACACAAACTGGTCGAATTTGAAATTTTCAAACACTAGTAGTTCACAAAATGATGACATATAAAATACCTTTTTAAATTTGAGCCAAGGTCAGCAATTTTTTTTAGATGGCTCAAAAAATCATTCCAAAACGCTTAGTTAAATAGTCGAAGTTGACTGAATAAAAAAATAACCCCAGTTATTTCGCACTTTCTTTGAAAGTCGGAACATTGAACAACTGAACATCAACCACGTATCATGGTCGGCATCAAACCGCTGACCACCTAAACAATAGATAAAGTAAGCTTAAATGCTTTGCATCCTAGTTTGACTGCCCTGACGGCTGCTGACTTTTAATAGCTCTGACAAAGTTTTTGTACGGTTTTCAAAACCTTCTAATTCAAGAGCAATTGACATATAACATCTCTCTTCTACAATCTAATCTATAAAGAGTTCAGTTAGGTTCATTTGCACACTGAATCTATTGAGGCACGGCACAGTTGGTGTGCTGGGGTTCTTCAAACTGACTGACGTCAGTTCCAGTCTTAGTAGCCAGTTCCTGCTTGAGGGTCTCGATCAAATCTGCCGGCAGAGTTTCCGTTCGCGCTAAAAACGTCACAGAAAAAAATGATTACTTCATTCTCTCTACATTGATGAGTTTACGGTTTTCTTAAAGAGTAAATTGAATGAACAATTAGGAAGAATGAGTTGACTTCAAGTGGAGCAAAGGATCTTATCTATATAATTCACACAGCCGGTTTGTATTGCACATATATTGCAGATGATAAACAATTTAAAGATTTTCGCTCCTGAAATATTTTAAGTCTAGAAACTTTTTACAAGGAAAATTTGCAATTCTTTACAGTTTACGACTATTAAAAGTAGCTGTAGCTTACAGAGAATGAAGGCGAACTCGACAGTTCCGTATCCCCACAGAGTGTCGCACCCATACTGCAGGGCGTAGGTGGAGTAGTCGGTGTCTAGGAAGAACACGTTGGGCTTCTTGTTGTACTCGGGCATGAACACGAACTCGGCCTTGTTGTCGTTGTTCGGGTAGAGCACATTGAGTGCCGAGTTTCTGCTCTCGCTGTTTTGTACGTAGGTCATGTTCAGAATAATGTGTTTGCCTTAAAACCAAAAAAACTGATTTCAAAGAAATCATTATTTACAAAATCTAAGAAAAAGTCCATTTTTTTATTCATAAAGATTGACCTGACCATTTATTCTTCTCAACGCTAATAACCGTTGATAGCAACGTAACTAAAGTATCATTGAAACAAGTATGCACTTCTTTTTTGAGCAAAACACAATCACACAACCAATACAAATGATTAGTGTTTGATTACAGCGGGCTTTTTTTCATCTAGGTTATATTTTTGAAGCTAAAACCACAAACCTTCATCTGTCAATTTGTTCACTTCATAGTCTGATACCACACACGAGCAGCCCACTTCCATCGGGTTGGGGTATCTCAGGATCTCGTGCCAGACCCCCATGAAACTATCTAGGGAAAAGTTACCCAAAGCCGAAAAATCTGGACACTGGTCGACCGATCTTGCAAAATTTAAATGCCCGTTTATGTTTTTACATTGGCATACCAAAGCCAAAGCAAAAACAGCTAAAAATTGAAGAAAAAACTTCATATCTCTGAACTTTTAGATTTTTAATATCTGCTGAAAAATTATGCCGACTATTCTTTAAAACAATAATTGTTATTAATGATTTGAATGTATTTCCACCGCCTCGTTATGACATTTTACTATTTATTCAATTTAATAACTTTGAAGTTTTCTGAAGTTCAACGTGGTTGAGTTTTAATTTTGAGCCAATAGTCGAGGTAGGTCAAAAACTATGGCGGATAGTTGACATTTAGATGCACATTCTTGAGCTATTTTAAGCTTGATTAATCTTTTGTTGATTAACCTTTTGTCTTGAAGTTAGAGTCAAAATAACAATAAGGAATCCCAGAAAGTTTTATTTATACGACCGAAGTCAACAATTGGTATCAAATAACTTCAAGACGTGATGTCACGGTAGTTTATGTTAACTTCGAACACTGGATTCCCTGGTGTTTGTTAAGAAAACTTTGATCGAAAAGCTTTTCTAGATGTTATTGCCCCTAATAAACTTTTGAAAAAATGATACAATCCTTTAGAAGCTTACACATTTCTTTAAATATTTATTTTGATTATTAATTATCGAAATCAGTTTTAAACTTATTTTCTCAAAGTATGATAGCCCTGTTTTCTGTTTCATTAAAAAACTGATTAAAAGAAGCTAAGTGTTTGATTACAAATGTATATCAGAAGATTTTTGACGGTGGGGGGTATTTTTGTAACACTTCGACATTTTTCTCGGCACACTATTGCGCTTTTTCGAGGCTCCTTCAGAAAAATTTTAGAAATGTTTGACCGAAAACTTATGTCGTAATTCAATACAAAAGGGGCACCCTTTGGTTGATGAAAATGTCGAATCATTGAAAGGTCAAAGGCGTCCGCCACCACCGCCCCCTCCCTTCATACGCCCTGGGTAGTGAGTAGTGCAAATAAACTCATCTTCAAATCACCACCTCCCCAATTACAAATTAGTTTCTCAATTTCAAAAACAATCGATAACCCAATTACCCAAATTCAAAAATTACCTTTGATAATGACTACCAAACTCATTTTAAATCTAAAAGTTTTAATAAAGAAAAAAGCGTGGAAAACTCAGTGCAGATCTTCTGAGTTATGACCGATGTGGTTAACTCATAGAGTAATTTCGGATAGGGTACACCGTCTGCTCGTCACGCTATCTTATTTTCGGCCGGATAGATTCGTGCAACTTCTTAGTCTAATACCGATCCTAATCTTACTCTTATATCTACTAGTCTCAGGGTGTTTAACTAGTCTCTGCTAGGCTCAATAGGTCTAGAGTATACTGGCTTATTGCAACTGCTGAAGTTCTCTTGGAGAGGCAACTAATTTCTAAGTTAAATTCAAATCTCTCTGGTGCTGAAATTACAAGTAATTTCAGCACTTACAAATAAGTGGGTTGTTAGTTAGATGGATTATGATTGGTTAATATTAAATATTTTACAGTGGTAAAATATCTAATTTATCCAATTATAAAATGTAGTTTAGATCAGGTTCCACCCATCCGGGGCTTACAGAGTTTTTTAGAACTCTCTTTCTGCAATTTGAAGGATGGATGATGAACGTTGGTAATTGGCGAACATCATTTTCTTGTCCGGTTCCTCTTGGAGAAGAACGTTCCAGGACGCTGGAATTAGGGACAGGTAATTGTTACGTCGTCTTTCGACAACGACTGTGATCCCCAATGAAATCAATCCGATTTCAAAATGGTTTGCTATGACAGGTTTTTCTGTATTATGTAGAGAACTTGTTTTGTGTGCAACCTCGTCTGGGAATGGCGTGAAGATCGTGTCTGGGAGGGATGCCTTGTAACTCGGATCTGTACGTATACTTGAACATCGAGGTGATCATTGGTCTAGTTCAATGAGGTCCTCTTCTGCGAAGTCAAGTCGTTCTCTAAATCCTTTGAGTTGTGATTGTGGACGGCATGTCGGTTTGTGCTTGTATTGCTTTTTTATTCTTCTTTTTCCTCTTTTTGATGAATTTGAAGTTGTTTCTGAGTCGGAAAAATATAATTGATCATGGATGGGACAATTTTTATCTATTGATTCTTTTAATTTGTATAGTTCGTCTAAACTGTTGGCTTCTGATTCAGAAAATGCGTTTCTATTTTTTGAAAATCTTTTTCGTGTGATTTGTTTTTGTTTGTTTATAATTTTCCTTTTTATTGTTTGTCGTTTTGTTCTAATGTATCCAACTGTTTGTGTTTGAGGTATGATTACAAGATCGTATTTTTGGTTGTCTATTTCACAATTGTATAAAGCGATTGTTTGTTTATTTCCTAAATTTTTGAATGACATAAGGTTTGAATGACATAAGAATGACATAACCACAAACCTTCATCTGTCAATTTGTTCACTTCATAGTCTGATACCACACACGAGCAGCCCACTTCCATCGGGTTGGGGTATCTCAGGATCTCGTGCCAGACCCCCATGAAACTATCTAGGGAAAATTTACCCAAAGCCGAAAAATCTGGACACTGGTCGACCAATCTTGCAAAATTTAAATGCCCGTTTATGTTTTTACATTGGCATACCAAAGCCAAAGCAAAAACAGCTAAAAATTGAAGAAAAAACTTCATATCTCTGAACTTTTAGATTTTTAATATCTGCTGAAAAATTATGCCGACTATTCTTTAAAACAATAATTGTTATTAATGATTTGAATGTATTTCCACCGCCTCTTTATGACATTTTACTATTTATTCAATTTAATAACTTTGAAGTTTTCTGAAGTTCAACGTGGTTGAGTTTTAATTTTGAGCCAATAGTCGAGGTAGGTCAAAAACTATGGCGGATAGTTGACATTTAGATGCACATTCTTGAGCTATTTTAAGCTTGATTAATCTTTTGTTGATTAACCTTTTGTCTTGAAATTAGAGTCAAAATAACAATAAGGAATCCCAGAAAGTTTTATTTATACGACCGAAGTCAACAATTGGTATCAAATAACTTCAAGACGTGATATCACGGTAGTTTATGTTAACTTCGAACACTGGATTCCCTGGTGTTTGTTAAGAAAACTTTGATCGAAAAGCTTTTCTAGATGTTTTTGCCCCTAATAAACTTTTGAAAAAATGATACAATCCTTTAGAAGCTTACACATTTCTTCAAATATTTATTTTGATTATTAAATATCGAAATCAGTTTTAAACTTATTTTCTCAAAGTATGATAGCCCTGTTTTCTGTTTCATTAAAAAACTGATTAAAAGAAGCTAAGTGTTTGATTACAAATGTATATCAGAAGATTTTTGACGGTGGGGAGTATTTTTGTAACACTTCGACATTTTTCTCGGCACACTATTGCGCTTTTTCGAGGCTCCTTCAGAAAAATTTTAGAAATGTTTGACCGAAAACTTATGTCGTAATTCAATACAAAAGGGGCACCCTTTGGTTGATGAAAATGTCGAATCATTGAAAGGTCAAAGGCGTCCGCCACCACCGCCCCCTCCCTTCATACGCCCTGGGTAGTGAGTAGTGCAAATAAACTCATCTTCAAATCACCACCTCCCCAATTACAAATTAGCATCTCAATTTCAAAAACAACCGATAACCCAATTACCCAAATTCAAAAATTACCTTTGATAATGACTACCAAACTCATTTTAAATCTAAAAGTTTTAATAAAGAAAAAAGCGTGGAAAACTCAGTGCAGATCTTCTGAGTTATGACCGATGTGGTTAACTCATAGAGTAATTTCGGATATGGTACACCGTCTGCTCGTCACGCTATCTTATTTTCGGCCGGATAGATTCGTGCAACTTCTTAGTCTAATACCGATCCTAATCTTACTCTTATATCTACTAGTCTCAGGGTGTTTAACTAGTCTCTGCTAGGCTCAATAGATCTAGAGTATACTGGCTTATTGCAACTGCTGAAGTTCTCTTGGAGAGGCAACTAATTTCTAAGTTAAATTCAAATCTCTCTGGTGCTGAATTTACAAGTATTGTCAGCACTTACAAATAAGTGGGTTGTTAGTTAGATGGATTATGATTGGTTAATATTAAATATTTTACAGTGGTAAAATATCTATTTTATCCAATAATAAAATGTAGTTTAGATCAAGTTCCACCCATCCGCGCGTTAATTGTCCCATATTGACGCGGAAATATATCGCGCGTTAATTGTCCCAAATTGACCAAAATGGCAATCTTTAAACCCCCAAAACTTTACGAAAAATGATCACTGGTGAAAAATTTTTTCCAATTTAAGCTCAGGATAACAATATCTTTTGATATAAAAAAAAAATTTTCAAAAAGGGCTAGTTAAAACGTCGAAATTTGTCTGAAGAAAAAAACCCACCCGAGCACAAATATTCCGTTTTTTGTTACTTTCGCATCGAAAGTCGGAACAAAAAAACATAAACTTGGCTAGCTCTTGTTGTGTAATAAAAATAATTGCAATTTTCCAATTCGAGGCGAATCTTTCGAAATTTATCCGTTTCTCTTATCTAGCAAAGTCCGTTCTTTCACTTTCTCAGTTTCCACACAAATAAATTTTGGTGAGTCATGCTTATTTTGTGCAACTCAATGTCTTTGTTTTTCGTTGAGAAGTTTCACGTGGTAGTACCACTTTGCGGGCAAAAACTGGCCAGGCAGTTTTATATTTGATGCTAGAAGCTAAGTGAGAACTCCTTTGAAATTTTTTATTTGCTCATTTGAATGGTTTTTTTGTTTTTTCTTATCAAATAACAAGAAAACTTGAGTATTCGGATTCAAAAACTTTTCAAGGATAAATTAAAAGTATTAGCCAATTTTTAGCTTTTCATTTAAATAGCAAAATATGACCAAAAATGCTCATTTTCAGCAATTTACTCAATAAGTTGATATAACTTATTTTTCTGTTAGGCTTTTGTTCCGTTCCGTCTTTCGGTACGAGAGTAACGGAAAATTTGTGCTCGGGGTGGGTTTTTTTTTCTTCAGACAAATTTCGACTTTTTAACTAGCCAATTTTGACGAAAATTTTAAATATCTTTCAAAAGGTATTGTTGTCCTAAGCTTAAATTTGAACCAATATTTTACCTCTGATGATTTTTTGTAAAGGTATGGGGGTTTAAAGATTGCCATTCTGGCCATTTTGGGACAATCAACGCGCGATATATTTCGCGCTTTTAACGCATAAGCGGAGATTTAATCCGTCTTAGAAATCGTTCCAAATAGATTGAAAGAAGTTTTTTTTACCATTATTGATTTGTTACAAGGAGCGAATACTATTTTTTTGTAGTTTATATGGCGTGTGGGGGGATAATTTTCATAGAACATTTTCAAATTTTACAATTTTTTTTTCAGTTTTTATTACATTTAATTTGTTAATGATATTTATGTTATAACTGCTCCATAAAACTTAAAAGGCAATCGGAACATTCAGGACTTCGCGCTGATACTAGCAATCTTGTTGGATTTTTGAAACTTTTCCTTTGGTAGAAGAGAGCATAAGCCAGCCATGACAATTCTTGACAAAAAATAAGATTTTATTGTTGAGATGTTCCACTAAATCTCAAAATAATTGGCTCAGCTCAAACTCTTCATTACCAAATTCATAAATTTAATTGTGTAACTTCGGTACTTTTAGGGAAAAAACAACAAAAAAGTTTGAAAAGTAGTCGCTTAACTCTTTTGAAAAAAATAATTATCGATTTGATTCAGTGGTTAATTTTTGTTTTCGACGAAGAAAGAGAACTTTAACTTGAGTAAGAGGCCCATGAAACTTGCCAACATTTTGTTGAGCGGTTTGGTGATTTTTGGGTTTTCGCTATTGTACGTGATTTGAAGATTTTTTCAGCAAAAAAAAATGGCGGCAAAAACATAGAGCTTTCAAAAACTTGAATCAAACTCATACTGGACACAAGCCTGCTCGTATTGAAGAAAGTTCCGGCTAAAAGTTCCAGTTGTCTATTAATTTGTATCGTATAGCAATTGTCTTTTTATTTTAACTTTTTTCAAAAACAAACCATCACCTCACACGCTACGTCAAGTGCCAAATGCGTATTTTGCCTATAGAAAGTAATAAATAGTCCAAAAAGCATGCCATACTCCAACTTCTAACAATTTTTACGAGCGATTAAATCTCCGGTTACGCTTTAATAGCCGGAAATTTATCGCGTGTTAATTGTTCTAAATTGGCAAAAGTAGCGATGTTTAAACAACCCCCCATAACTTTACAAAAAAAATCACCACAGGTGAAATATCGTTTTACTTTTGAGGACAACAATAACTTTTGGGTCATTTTAAAAAAAATCCTTCAAATCTGGCAAGTTAGAAAACAAAATTTGTCTGTAGAATGAACCCAAACAATCTGTCATTTTCTTCGAAAATAGTCCGAACAATAAACAAAATCATCGAACCATGTGCATAATGCATGGAAGATTCCGACAACAATCAGTTTCACAAAAAACGTTGAAAAAAATCATTCTGTCTTGTTTCATTTTGCATTTTTGTCTCCTATTATTTTTTTGAGGATCTAAACGTGAGCACATAACATTGACAAGAATTTATTTCGCCGAAGGACTCTTTGCTAAATGATCTAGTTTTTCACAGCTTAATGAACAGTTTCTCGACAGTGGCAGCTACTCGCTGTCTTTACTCGCTCTGAATTAGACTTAAAAATAAAAAGCTTAAAAACCCATTAAGTCTCAACCTTGAAGAAACGTTTTGATTTTTTTAGTTCTGGCTTTCAAAACACTGGCAAAATGTTTGTGCTTGTGTGTTTTATCTCTCGACAAATTGCGATTTTTAACTTGCAATTTTTGACATTGTCTCGTTGAAGTAATTGACGTTGACAAAGTAGTCTTATCCTGGCTTCAAATTAAACGAAAACATTAAACAGTGATCATTTTCTTTAAAGTTATGGGGGTTTAAAGACAGCCAATTTGGCCTTTTTGGGTCAACTAACGCACGATTTATTTCGTTTAATAAACGCGTTAGCGGAGATTTAATGCGTCGTAGAAATCGTTCCAAATTGAATTTAGGCATACCATTCGATGTTTTTCATACTCTGCTGATGCGAAATATATCATTTTGCATAGCGTGTGGGTGGATGATTTTCAAAAAATCTTCAAATCCTTTCAAATTTTTCTTCTTCAAAAAGTGAACAGTATCTAACTCAGAAGACAGTATATTGCTCGACACTAATAGCTACTCACTGGTCTTCACTCGCTCAGAGGTATACTAAGAAGCGAAATGTTAAAATCGGTTTTTCTCAACATTGAGGAAACGTTTTGATTTTCTTTTAACATTGTCGTGGTACTCGATTTTAAATAGGAAAATGTTTTCAGAATCCTAAATACACTGGAAAAGAAATTTTTTTATCGAGTAAAAATGCAGTTCATACGTTCAGTACAACTAATTTTAAGCTGCTATGAGGCGCAGTGCCTTTGAACACGACGTCTCCCTTTTCGTCCTTGTACTCCGAGTATTTCAACTCACTGATGCATCGGAATCCTCTATTGGCAAAAATACGTTGACTATAAATACCAGTCGCCTCAGCAACAATGGCCAAATCGCCATTCTGCTTGGCTCTATTTATTACGTCATCCACGAGCTTTCCACTAGTTCCTCGTCTCTGAAACTAGAAAAAAAAAGAATTTCCAGGTAGATGGAAAGATGTTCCATTTTCGTTTTCAATTAAATTTTGGAGTCTACAAATTTTTTAGGTAGCTCTTTCATATTTCTTAAAACCTTTCATATCTTCAAATCTTTCGAAGCGTCTCAAAAAAATCAAATTTTACTGTTCAATCAATTTTTATTAACTTTCCAACCACTTGATCACATTATTAGATCTGAGCCATCTCAAACTCAAGTATTAGATCTGAGCCATTACATTTTCTAAATTTTGAATTTAATTGCTAAGTTTCTTAAATAGCAAGATCATTTATTTTTCAAATGAATAAATTTTTGGAAACAGGTGAAATAGTTTTCATTTATAGACCAGAATACGAAAATGGAAATACCTTTTCTGAAACAGTGACTAATCTCAGGCGTAGAAATTTTTCAGGCAAATCTTCGCATCTCGCCTCGTAAAGAGCTTTAAAGGCGCCCGCAAACTCTGGAATAAGTGTCCGGAACTCTAAATATTGACTAAGCGAGACACTAATTGTGATGGTCAAGCCTGCAACTTCTGGCAATTTCGCTACTGTGGATGCTCGCTCCTTGATCGATGTTTCGACTGTTTTCCGAACAGCATCACCGTAGGTGGTTTCCAAATTTCTACACAAAAAAAAAGATTTCGTTGTTCAGTTCTAGTGCAAAAAAGAGCTGCTCCCTCGAAAAGGCCGATGTTTCTTTTAACATACGTAATGCCTTCCTAGTATTTTAGAAAATAATAAAAGAAAAACTGTTTACGACAGTTAGACTCATTGACAGAATAGCTCATTTTTGTGAAAGTTGCACAAAACTTTCCGACCACAATAAAAAACTCAAAAAAAACATTTTTGTTTGTTTTCAAATTGCGCTGTTTTTTTTGTTGGTGGTGATGAGAAGACCTGAACCAAAGCCTAAAATTTTGATAAATTGATTAAGTCAGTAATATTTGACGACATTTTCTTCGTAAAATAAAAAGAAAAAAAAATCGAAATTTTGATTTTTTTCCCAAAACATTTTTCCCAAGAAGGCACTAAAAGATATTTCGAAAACTAATTTTACTGGAGTAAAACTGAATTTTTCACAAATTTATGAAATTGCTAAGAGAAGCATACTTTGGCCGGCCTATTATAAGACTGCTCGCTCGCTTTATTTGCTCAAAATTGGACGAAAAACTATAAATTCAAATTTATGTTAACTGCGAAACCGGTTTGAAGTTTATGGTAAACTGGAAACTGCAAGAACTAGACTCGCTTGCTTTCTTTTGCTCAAAATTGGACTAAAAAAAATTTCCACCCGTTTTTTCTATACACTGCGTTCACATCACGACTCCAAAAATTTTTTGTTCCAATTTTTGAAGAAAGTGAGAAATATATATGCCCGGGTTGTTTTTTTTTATTCAGACCGATTTTAAAATGTTGACTGCATTTGGGTATCGATTCGCAAATCTTCGGATTGCCAAGCGATTTTCTTGCATTACACTGCTGTGCGGCTCTTCTGGCTGGAATGATACTTCAAGAGTTTGTTTCGATACGCGAATTATTTATGCGTGGCAAGATATCCGCAATTATAAGCGTTCTAAATTGAATTTAGGCAAGCTAATTAGTCTCATTAATTCCATAAACGACTCAGATTTTAACAATTTGATCAGCCGGAACATTCAGGGCTTTGCCCTGATACGAGCAGTCTTGTTATGTGATATATCACTCGAATCAATCCGATGATTCATTGTGGCGGTAATTCGGCCTAGAATTTGTCGACGTAGGCTCTAAACAATGGATCTAGGGCAACAGGCCGACGGAACTTCAAGCCGAAGGGACTTCAAACCAAAATTAAAACTTTAAGTCACAAATCTTTAGTTTTTCATATGTAAAACATTGCTTTTCAGTTATCTAGCCAAGTTAAGCCCATAAGAAGCGTTATTGATAACTATGTGCCTCTTAGCATTGGCATCCATTAATAACATCGTCCGGGTTTTGAAATGCAAAAATTATAAACATGAAAAACGCCTTCAACCGTGTTTTATTTCTCAATTTTCCTAAGCATCATCTAGGGGGAACTTAAATTTTATAACTACTAAACAAAGACCATTAAATTGAAAAACTCTTACTCACATTTCATGACGTTGTCAGAAAGTATTCGGCTTGAAGCACCTAATTTTACGATTCGGCTTGAAGTCCCGTCGGTTTTCCCGCACTGTCAAAAATGTTTTCGGATCGATTTAAATTGATTTTAACTCGATTTTGAATCAATTTTAAATCGATCGAAATTGATTAAAATTGTACATTTTACGAAATTAATTGGACTTTAAATCGATTTGATCTTTCAAGAAAAATTTGGATCAATTTAAAAAACCGATTTAAATCGATTTAGATGGATTTTCCGACTCATTAAAATCTATCCAAAACTCACTTAAATCCACCCGAATCTCACTTAAATCCATTTTAAATTGATGTAAATTGATCTTGAGGAAACTTTTGGATCGATTTAAGTGTCTTAAAAAACAATTTAAATCAGTTTGGATGGATCTTCAGACTCAGTAAAAACTTTTTTTTTGCTAACTCGGCAAAAAAAAAACACACTTATTTGAAAAAGTAATTTGAACATTTGATTCTCGTTTTTTTTTTAAATAAAAACACGCGGACCAGATAATATAGATTTCAATAAAATCATCAAATCATAGAAAGTTATTGTTAATTATTGTGAATCAGATTATGGGCAAAATCCCATCTAACAAACAAGAAAAGGGTCAGAATAAATTAAATTTTGATCTCAATATTATGCAATTAAATCATAGCAAATTATGAATGTAAATCAGATTTGGGCAAAAATTTATGAATAAAATCAAGAAAAGGGTCAATATAGATCAGTTTTTGAACTCAAAATATGCAAGGAAACACAGAATTTTATCAATATTTTTGTCTTTATTTGGTTTTTTTTATGCTACAATACGCTATGAATACAATACGCTATTAATGTATATAAAAGACGATAGGCAATGAATAAATGCAATAAAATTTTGAAACTGATGAAACTTGATTTAAAAAAATGATTCAAATCAATTTAAATTCGCTTTAATTTACTTAAAAATATCAAAACAAACTAACACTAGAAAAATGGATTTAAATCGATATAAAATCGATTTGGTTGAGTTTTTGCAGCTGGTAATTAAGATCAATTTAAATCATTTTTAAATTGATCCAAATCAATCTATTTTTTTTTAAATTTTTGTACTTTTTCTATACTGAGGTTGATCTAAATTTAATCAACATACTTTTTTCATACTAAAATCAATCCTAATCCATTTTGTCAGTGCGGGTGATGTCTGTCACCTCCTAAACAATGACCTGGGAGCACTCGGGGGTCTTGTTGAATATACCCCTCCTGAATGGATATACTTGGCAATTAAAATCTCCAGTTGATTGAAAGGGGGCAGTACAACAGTGCCGGAGTACAACAGTGCCCAAAAAAAAAGTTCCTCAAGCGCGGCTTCACAAGTTTTTCTGAACAGTTTTTTAACTCAGCAAATTGCCAAATTTTTTCTCGGTTTCGCTCCAAAAGAAAATAATATTCAAACCAATTACCAATAATTGGCAAACAGATATCCAGTTTTTTAAATGTCCTCAACTTTCGGAACTATTGAACACATTTTCAATTTTGGCACTGTTGTAAATCGGCACTGTTGAACGCCTCCATAGAAAGTAAAAAAGCGAGTGAAAACTGCTAATCGCTCGCGAATGGCATTTAATTGTTTGTTTCACCCGCTTTCGCATTTTCAATTTCAACTAGAATTTTCAAGTGTCAAATATATTCATTTAAAGGGGGGTAGGAGGGGTACAACCGAAAAAACCCGCGCTCGCAAAATCAAATTTCTCGTGATTTTTCTCGGTCGAACGCAATCAAATCATAGATGACTTTGTTCGGACTGTCGCAACATATTAAGCCTAGAACAAAACCTTCAAATTATGCTGAGTTTTGGTCGTGTCTGTCGAAGCATTAATAGCGAATCTCAAACCGGGAGAAAGTTACAAATAATTACTTTCCCCGAAGAATTGAGTGGGTCATTGGTTCCTGCTTCATGAAGGTGTAGAGGATCAAATCTGTCATCTGGTTTAAGTCTTCATTGCACGCCAGTTGGATAGTAAAAGTTGCGCCATCTTCATTGCTTGATTCCATCATGATAAAGAGCCTTTTTCGTATTGGGTGAAGACTAGGCTCTAACAACCTGTAATTTCAATTTAAAAACCAAAGAGGTTTGATAACTCAGTACAAATATGTAGTTTAGATTGTTCTGTTAACTCAGATAAGGCTCCAAATCAGTTTGTTCAAGGGCTTTTGTCTATGACTCAGAATTTATTATTGAACAAATTCATAAACCATAGACCACCATTAACTTGTATGATATCAAAAATAATTCAGTAGGCTAAACAAGAGAAGTCAACTAATTTCTAACAACCAGAAATTAGCATCATAAGTAATTCGTACACCAAGTAACCAAAATCATCCAATTTCATCGGATAATTGTATAATTACTTTGGTCCGGGTTTCATTACAACCGAGCCTTACCCGCATTTAAGAAAAGTGAAAACAAATCAATTATAATGGATTTTCGCGGTCTAAAGTGTTGTAAATATAATCGATTCCCATGCTACGTTCAGACAACAAAATTGGACTAAAAATGGATTTAAATCCATTTTTTCTTGCCAAAACAAAATGCATTATAATTCATTTCGAATCCATTATAATGGATTTTATAACATTAAAATGGATTTTTTTCCACTTTAATTTTGTTTCGCGCTCCGTGCAAAATTTTGCAAGAGTTTCTGCATTTATCAAGTGAGTTATGCGGAAATTTTGCAAATCCCCCCAACCTGAAACACCACTCCACCTGAACCACCACCACCACCGCCCTCATCTGAACCAACCACCGCACTTGAACCCCCCACTCCCAAAATGTAAACTGTGGGGATTAATCCACCTCCAACTTTACCTCCCCCCCCCAAAAGTTTCTAATAATTTAACAAAATTGTTGAAAGGAGCAAAAATTCAGGGCTCTTCCCCCCCCCCCCCACCTCACTCAAACATGAATTTATGGCTAACGAGTGGTTTTACAAGGTTAATTATGAAGAACAAATATGCTTGTTATGGCCTAATTAGTTTGCATGTCAATTTTCACGACAATCGGACAAAGTGAACAGTAACTTCAAATATAGAAATTTGCAGGTGGGGGAGGGAAAGGAAAAAGAGCCAAATTCAGTTTTTGAGTAACATAAAAAAGTAACGAAAATATCAAAGTTAGGCAGAAAAAAATTAAGTTGAACAACAAGTAACCAACGTAACCAACTTCAGTTTGAAAAGTAGAAAAGACTTTTTGTGTGTTAAAATTCGCATCTCAGTAAAGTAGAAAAAAATCGATTATGTTTTAGTTTCATTGTTAGTGTCCACAAAAGTGAAAAAAAAATTGATTATAATGGACGAAAAAAGGACTTTGTTGCCTCGAAAAGAAGTAATATTATATCCATTTTTAATTGATTATAATCGATTTGTTTTCACTTCTGTGGACACTGACAAGGAAATTCATTTATAATCGATTTTTATTCATGGAACTCCAATGCGGGTAGCGAATCGCAATGACTGCAGAGAAAAATGACAGCAAATTAAATCTCGCCATCAAGGTATTCCGATTATCTGGTTACGTTTCCAACACAGAGGCTGAGCGAAGCTTCGCACGTTTTGCGAAGCATCAAACAACATGAAAAACTAAACGAAAGAAAATGAGACGAAAGCCGCAGAACAAAAACCTTAAAAACATTTGAAAAAAAAACAAAAAAAAATGATCTTCCCAAAAACTTTAGATCTTTGTCTTGACTTTTTCGTAAATAAAGTTCTTTTATTATGAAAACATGCAAAAAAAGACAATTGGATGTTAAATTAGATAAAAACAAAATTGGCAAAGCTTTTACAACGTCGACTATTCTTCAGCAGACACACGTTGAGCTAAAAAAAAAGTTTAATGAAAAAAATTGAAAAACCCATTTTTTTTAATTCCCCTAAAACGTTTGCGTTTTCATCAACCTACTAAAAAGCCACTAAGCCGTTATAAAATAGGTCGAAACGTTTCAACTCGAAGTAAGAGAAAAAAAGAGAAAATACACACGAAAAAAATGATATACTGATATCGGAGTTAGCAAACTTACAGCTAACTTAAGCAAAAAATATTTCCAAATAAACAGATATTGAATTGAGTATGCAAGCATGCTTAAAATATTCTATTGGTTGACAGAAATGAAGATTGGAGTTGACCACAAATCTGAATCATCATGAACAACAGAAAATGAAAAAAAAAATTAATTCTTTTTTGAAGACTAATTATGACTACCGTGAATTGCAGAGGAGCTGTCACTAGGCCTTGACAACCCTGTATGAGGATAGTCCATTTGAAAAAAAAAGGCCAAACTGTGCACTGTCTTTAAACATATGTTAAATTTTGATGGAACGATCAAAGAGAATGAAAGAACAAAAGATGAACGAAGGAAGCGTCCTTGTTGCGGAATTCACTTACAATTCACAACAGAATACACAGTCTGGCTTTGTAATATTATTTTAAGGTTATTTTTAAGAAAAACTTCTGAATTTTTTTTTAGTAAAAGCAGTTGCGTACGGGACTGTGCCAGTGCCACTTTAAGTTTCAACCAGAATTAACATCAGAGGCAAAATAGCGCAAAAAGCTTACAAGCATTTAATCATCGATGACTCAGTGCTGATCCAATGAGCTGATGTACCGAACAAAAATCTTTTAACAAGTCGACGATTGTTCCGACTGCCATGTTACGTATCTATCCTAGTTTTTGGAAGGAAAATGTTTCATTAGATTCTCATTAAAAGGAAGCAAAATGTAATTTCATACAATTTTCGCAACATTGCGCTACGTACATTTTCAAGAAAAAGTCGATAACATTTGCGAATAATAATTGAGTAATAGCAATTAATTGGCCCTACTAGATTGGTAAGATTAAACTGAAATGATTTTAAGCCTCGTTAGGTTGATGCAAAAAAGCAAGATGAAGAACGGGAAAATCGCTAGCTTTTATATTCTTAAAACTAACATATATCTCAATTTTCCCAGTTTTAAAATTTTTAATAGATAATTTTCACTCGATACAGAAAAAAGCAATCAAAACTTGTTATTTAATATGTTAAACTTGTCTAAAATGAGCATGGAAGTATGTCACGTTATTTGAACGCCAGAACAAGACTGCTCGCATTCAGGACGAAGCTTTCATTGCTCTGACTGCTTTTTAAGCTTTATGGAGCAGTAAAAACATGAAAAAATTAAATGTAATAAAAAAGTGATACAATTTTCTCCTTGTAACAAATTAATTTTAGCAAATAAGCTTCCTTCAGCCAATTTGGAACAATTTCTGAGACGCAGTAAACATCCGCTTACGCGTTACTAGCGCGCAAAATATCAGGCGTTACTTGTCCCAAACTGGCCAAAATGGCAATCTTTAAATTCCTTAACTTAACAAAAAATGATCACATGTAAAGTGTTTTGTCAAATTTAAGCTTAGAACAACAATACATTTTGATTGATACAAATTCCGCCAAAAATTTACTCTTAAAAATAGAAAAAAAAGCAACCCCGAGCACCTGAAGAAAAAAAAACCACCACGAGCATAAATATTCGGAAAGTCGGAACAATAACAATCATATAGCGACACAAATAAGTCACGAAGACAAATTTGTTTTAAATTGCTGCTTCCTGTTTAGCAGTCAAAAATTTATACCACTATGAATTAAAGAGTTCAAAGTATTTCCAGAATTTAAAGATTTCAAAGAAATTTAATCCTTCATAACTTTGCAAGAATGGTAGCAGTTTTAAGAGTAATGAAGCTAGTAAGTACTCATGGCTCTCGGTGATTGACTTTTTTCAGGTAAAAGTCTTAAAATTTGTTAATGCTCAATTTTTTTGGCGGTTTGAATTTTAAAGTTCAGTTCAATTCCTTTGTTAAAAGGAAGGCAAACTCCACTATCAAACAGCAAAAGTGTAAGAGTTAAGAAAAACGTGATCAACTCCTGATTTAGAAAGTAGAATTTCATTCTCAGATTTTCCAGCGAAATAAAAGTTTTACCAAGTGATCCAGTTTTCTCAAATTGGGTTAATTTTTTATCAAAACAGTATCAATCATATATGTTCGTGAATCATATTGTTCGTGAAGCTTAAAGAGTTTTATGGACATGTAGTAATTTTCTTTTGAATTCGAAAATTGTAATTTTTTCAGAAAGTAAGTCAGTATTTTTTTTCAGTTTTTCTTTTCCAACTTTCACTTGGCTATATTTTTCATTCTGAGCCATGAACATCAATATGTCCTAGATTGTATAGAAAAATTCAGCCAAATATCGCTTGTTAAAAAATCAAAAATGCCTATAGATTGAAAAGCGGCCCGCGCACAATTATTCTGTCACTTTTTTGGAAATTCACAATTCTATTTGTTTCAGAGCGCAGCAGTAAATGTTCCGACTACCCATTGAGGTGTCTGATTTTTGTTTGGCAGATAACATAGATACATTTTTCAAAACATATTACGATTTTTAGTCTTTTTTTAGCTCATTTTTTTTTCTGAGCTTATCGCATCATATAAGTGTCTTCCGTTGGTATGGAGAAAATGGTGTATGGTGTAGCAACACTCCAGATAGCATAAAATTTTGCCAATAATTGGTTGTTTTAAAACCGAAATTTGTCTGGAGAAATTAAAAGTTTCAAAAAAAAATATTTCTTTTCATTTTTGATTTGAAATCCTAACCTGTCGCTCGTAAAGCCTATTTTTTACCCTTACTGAAAAATTTAGTTGAAAAATCAAAATCAAGCTTGCATAGGACAAATTGGTGCTCAGGACAAATAACTGAACCAATTGGATCGGAACTTTCTTTTGAGTCGCAACTTTTTTTCGGTTGACTTGGTGAAAACATTTTTGGCCAAATTTTAGTCGGAGTTTTTTAGCCGAACTAATGTCGAAGTTGAGTAACTCAGTTGAGTAAATTTTTGATCGCTTTAAACGAATTATAGATCATTTAAAATGAATGGTTCGAATCGCACTGTTTTCTATAGTGTGATTGGAATTAACTATAATGTGATTCGATTTTCACACTATACAAATTAAAGTGCACCTTTAGCGGATTTTAGCGTCATAGAGCAAAAAAAATGTTTTGTGACATTTGTGAAATTTTGGGCTAGTTCTTTGTGATATTTGTTTCTGCTTCTGGGGTCTCTATGGTCTCACCACTCTAAACTCTTCTTCCTTTTTTTTCAAAAATTTGATCATAAAGCTCAAATATTATTAGTTGAAATTAATTCCACCTAAAAAAAGATGGATTTCATTGAAAACTGAAGCTCAATTGAAAATTTGGCCATTTTGGGTGGTATTAGAGAAAATAGGGATGCGTGCTTCTGTTTCAGACATGCAAGTGGCAGCCACTCATCTTCACCTCCAGTGACTCCACCCTCTACCACTGCCTTGGCCTCCTCATCACCCACCAGATACACAGACTGCCCATAGTGGACCACAGTGAGGAGGGGATGAGCAACATCCTCGGATTCGCATCCCACAGATCCATACTCCAGTTCATACACAGAGCACAGTTCCACAAGCCCTTGTTCTACTCCCAGGCCATCGCACACCTCAACATCGGAACTTACGGCTTGGATAACCTTAGAACAGTGAACTGTAAAATGATCACGTGGGAGGTTTTGAGACTGTTCAAGAAAACAGATCTATCAGTGATTCCCGTTTTGGATAGCGAATGTCGCTTTTTAGGGTTATACTCCAAAGAGGATGTTTTTCACTTAGGCGCCAATCAACTAACTGAAGATTTCATGGTCCCAGTTGAAAGATGGTTGAACAAATTTTCTGTCAATCGATACAAAAAATGCAAGTCCAGTGACCGATTATCGGTGGTCATCAAGAAGTTCTGCGAAAACAGGGTTCGTCATTTGGTCATAATAGATGATGGGGGTTTTCTAGAAGGTATCATTTCCATTTCAGACGTGAACAAGTTCATTCTAACCAATCAGGATGCGGAAGCAAATAGCGAAGAGTCGGCTAATTCTTCAACTTCGGCTAGTAGCACTAATGTCTCGGCCTCTAGTTTGAACCATTTTCGATAGAATTTATATGTGCTTCATCATTTCATCACTATCTTTGTTCACTCAATCAAATCTAAATGTTCCATAATAATAATTTTTGCTTTACTTCAAATAATCACAATAAATGTTGAGTATGAAAAAATGCGTATGTATTTCGGTATTCTGATATTGATAATAAATCGAGATCTGGAGTAACTTTACTGCCGAAGCTCTGGTCTCTCACAATAACAAAAACAAAACTAAATATTTTAACAAGTACCACTATCTGTCAATTAGACCACAGTCAAATTTGTAATAAAAAGCGAAAAAAAACCTCGTTTATTAAAAGCGATGTCTTTAACTATGCCTTTTTTTCGATCTTCAGAAATTGAGTGACTGTCCCGATAAACGATGTAAGACTAATTGATCAAACTGCATTAAAAAACTGCAAAAGAACCTGATTAAAATCGAAAACAAAAACTTTAGTATTATATTTATTGATTTTAAAATTTTTTGAAACCTTTGTTGTTCAAATTGTCATCAGACGGAGTTCGGTCGGCTCTTTTCCAGTTTCTCCCCCCTTGATTTTTTCTGAAATTAATTGAAGGAAAGTCTTTTTAAATTTTTTTTTCAATCTAAAAACTGCAATAAAACGTGTCAGCGTGAACAGGTGAACACATTTTCACAACATTTATGACATGCAAAATGCCGTATGAACAATTTATGAACAATCTTCTTTTTGCTACTTTACGAGGGGGTGGGAAACTGGAAAAGAGCCGTTCGGTCGAACAGATACTTTTTTTGATCAAAAATACACTTTCAGTCCGTTTACAGTCAGATGGCCATACTAAGGTCGAACTAAGGTCGAACCAGGGTCGAATCAAAGTCCAACTAGGGTTGAATCAGAGGTGAACTAGGATCCAATCCGGAATGAACTAGAATCGACTTAGGGTCATCAACGGAAATCACCTTTAAAAGAAGCTGCCATAACTTACAAACACATCGTGGGCCAGCGGAAACAACAATAATACAAAGGCCAAGCGGAGCTTCGCGTCACTTGCAATATAACACTAACTTTAAAAGTTTTGTCGAAAAAAATAGATCCGATGAAAAAAAAGAAGGTGAAACAAATTTTTCGTATGCTCAGATAAAAAAACTAGAAGCCAGCAAAATCTGGAAATACCAGTTTCATATTTTTGAGTTCGCTATACTGATGCGGGATGAAATGGGTAATTTTTGCAAGGAAAAAGTTAATTTTTCTAACAAAAAAATAACGATTCACTTCGTGTGCAGGAAAAACTCGCGCAACCAGTTGTTTTGATTGAACCCTGTATAGGGTAGTTTTTGAGAAGCCAAAAAATTTTCTAAAAAAAAGGGTCAGAAGCTCAAATACTTGACTTTCGAATTCCATAACATTTTTTTTCTGCAAAAAGTAGCCGTTGCAGCAGAGAAGATTTTTAAAACCGGGTTTTTCCATTGAAAAATTAACTTAAGAATTGGCATGGTAGATTTCAAGAGAGTCAAATAATTAAAAAGAACGGTCCAAGTTTCAAAAATTGCATATTTTTGAGGGTCATCTTAGAAAACTAGTCGCCGCTTATGCAGATAGGCTTTCAACAACCTGTTGTTCTGATTGAAGTATTGGTATCAAAAAGGCAGGGTAAGTATCGAGAAAAGTTTCCAAAAAAACTGTAATTAATCGCAGTTTTTCCGAGAATTATAGCTTTTTGTGTAGGAAAAGTCGACATAGCACCTTACGCAGCAAAAACTTGCACAGCCTGTAATTTCGATTAAGCCCACACCTCAGATTTGGGACGGTGGTGTTCGAGCAAGGTCAAACAGATTCAAAAATTAATGTTCCAAGGGCGAAAACTGCTTGCATAAAGTATTGGTCGACGTGCATTATGCGGGGGAGCTTCCCACAAACCACTATTTCGATTGAAAACAAAAACTCAGAAGTAGGAGGATGGTTCTCAAGAGAAAAAACGTTTAGGAGCGGTCAAAAATCAGAAGTTTTGAATTTTCCGAGGGAAATTTGTATGCATAAAAATTGGGATGTAACGGCTCGCGCATCGGAGTTTCCCGCAAACCGTTATATTCATTGAACTCAAATCCAAAATCTCAGATTTGGAATACTGGTTTTGAGAAAAGAAAAAAAATATGGGTCAGATATTACCCACAGTTTTTTTTCGAATGTTGCAGACTGTGGAGTAACGTAAACAGAGACTAGGTGGTTATGCAGGTACACAGAGGAGTAGCCAGTCTTTCCAAGGATACTCCAACTTTGAAAATCGATAAAATGGTTTTTGAAAAAAAAAATTGAAAAAAGAGAAAATTTTTTCCAAAATGTCTCAATATAAAAAAAAGAAAATTATCAAGCCAAACTGGGCATTTTGTTTTGGATTCTACGGACCAATAGCTAAAACACAATTGCTCAAAATTGCTGGAAAAACAGGCAATTTTTGTGGAATTTGCAACAAAATGTGTGGTATTTGCAACAAAATATGCGGAATCTGGAACAGTTTGTGAAATCCACAAGCAAATAATATTATATGTATTTAGTAAAATTAAGCCGCCGTGGAATGCGCAACTGTAAGTAAAATCTGCAAATTGTAAAAAAATTCCCGAAATCTACTTAAATTTGAGGAATCCGAAACAATAACCTTAGCGTTAACCAATAACCTTAACCAATACCGAAGCAAGAAAATTATGTGCCGACAAAATTTACATTACAGGAAGTTGTACGCCGAATTTAAGAAAACTTTCTATGGCTTGTCTCAAGGCTTTTCTCTGGAATCCAGGACTTTAGAGACACCAAACTGATCGCCTATCCAGCGTACATTTTGGCCAGGTAATGAAACCTAATTTCACGCATTTTCATAAAATTTGATTTTAACAAACAGGAGTTTTAGGAAAATTTGGCGAGCAAGACTATCGAAATTTAGGCACAGGGATGAAGTGGAGCCACGCCTATTTTGAGATAACACAAATTGGCTCTGCAAGCTAGCAGACAGAAAAGGAAAGGAAACAGCTAAGTCCAAAGAAAATGGAAACACTTTCGAAGAAACCACAAATAAAACCCTTCTGTGAGATCCAGAGGAAAGCATAAAAATCATGGTTTCCTCAAACGTTCGAAAAATAGGTAAATAAGCCGATGAATATAAGACGTTATCAATGTGGCGAAACTTTTTTGGAGCAAAAAAAAATCAGAAAAAAGGAAAAATTACGAAGTCAAGATTAGGAGAATTACATGTTGCAGGATATTTTGAAAAGATAAAAGGAACTACAATGAAAACTGCACACAACAAACTAAATTCCTACGACGTGGCAACTACGATTTGGCAGCAAAGTAGAAGCAGACAAATAAAAAGCCGACAAACTTGAAACTGAATGTTTCGTTCAAAAAGAAAAACAAGTCCTGGTCAGATTCAAACCCAAGACGTTTGCCGTCCCAGGCGTCTTCGTTACCTCCAGACTAAATGTGTCGGAGAAGCGTCGAAACTTAATTTCATAAAAAAACCAAGATACCAAGCGATTCAAGTGATTCTGTTAAACAAGTTGTTAACTCGAAAAAATGAAAAAGTCTATAATCCGATTTGATAATGCCTGCTAATCGCGAAAGTAATTAACAACAACTCAAAAAACGCGAAGCAGAAACAAAACCGACAGTCTTTGAGCGGACAACAGTTGAGCCAAAAAAAATTGAAACTGTTTTAGAAACTTTTAAAAGTTTCAAGTTCCCCCTGAAAATACAGTGAACAACACTTACAATTAACGTGATACTCGCTTACAAAACAAGAAAAATCCCTAAAGTGGCAATTAAGCCGACAACACTTGAACAGACACACGAAAGTCCGACAATGCAAATGTTACCAAAGTTTAGAAGTTTTCGTATTTTTTTATCCACAATTCATTCTGATTTCTGTTATCACAATCAGAACTGTAAGGACGAAATAAAATCGACTGTTAATTTTCAAACAAGCAACCGCCCGTGAAAAATCGAAAACATTTCCTGAAAAGACCGAAAAAAATACTCGACATAGGGGTAGTAGCTTTACACTCTTAATTAAAAACCAAATAATTTAAAAGAACCTGAAAATCAAACGAAAACTACAGTTTTTTTTTGTAGATTTCTAAACTCAATGAAACCAACAACAAGTTAATGTTTCAAGTTTCGAAGAAAGTAAAAGGTATATAAGTTTTGCATGATTATTTCCATCAAACCAATTTCCGACAACAGATTACTCATACATAATGAAGATAATGTCTTTTGAGTTCAAATTTCAAATTTTGCCTACGATTGTTTTTTTTTTGTAAAATTCTGGTGGTTCAAAAACTGATGTATTCGCCACGCTCTAGACTAATTTATGCGCGTGTCGAGGAAATGCTTGAAGCTTTATGCAAGTTTTTCATAAACTATACACGGTGAAACATTCCGCAAGCAAGTGGGTCAGAGAAATTTACCATATCGACTTAAAGTTTCTTACTTGAAAGTTGAAATTGGCAGACCAAATTTTTTAAGCCGATCAAAACATTTTTGCGAAAAGCAATTTGCGGCAAGTTAAAGATTTGCCTTAATATACGAGCAGCTTCGTTCAAGTTGTAGATTAGCATTGGAAAATACGATCAGAACTTGAAATCAAACTTTAGCACAAACTTTAGCAGTCAAACAAAACTGCTAGTATCAGGGCGCAACTCTAAATGTTCCAAATAAGTTTTAAATTCTGTGAAGTAACTCAACCTAAAATAAAAGATTTATATTTCCTAAAATGAATCTAAAAATGTTTTGATGTTTTTTTTTCGAAAATTATCCTCTCACACGCTATGTAAAATACAAAGTGATAGTTCGCCAAAAGATTAAAATCAACAAAGACCATGACTCAACCCAATTTAAAACAGTTTCTTATACGAATTAAATATCCGCCCACACGTTAATAGCAGAAATATACCAAGCGTGAATTGTCCAAAATGAGCAATCTTTTAACCACTTATAGCTCTACGAAAAATCTTTCTAGTTTTGAGCTCAAAGCAACAGTACTTTT